GCCAGGAGGTGATGCCAAGGTCAACATCAGGTGGGAGGTGAGAGGACATATGTCAGTTTTCTGTTGCTGCATAACAAATTGCCACAAATTTAGTGACTTAAAATGATACCCATGTATTAGCTGGCAGTTGACTTCTGTAGGTCAGAAGTCTAGTAGGTGCAGTTGGGCTTTCTGCTTAAGTTCCCACAAATCAAGGTATCTACAAGCTGAGCTTTTATTTGGAGGCCCCAGGAAAGAACCCACTTCTAAACTCCTCCAGGTGTTGGCAAAACCCAGTTCCTTGTGACTGTAGAACTAAGGTCTCTGATTCCTTGCTGGCTTCCAACCAGGGTCCACCTCTGCTCCCAAACAGTGCCCCCTCTTTCTCAAGCAGCCCGTTACATCTTCAAAGCTAGCAACAGTACATCACATCTCCCATGTGCTCTGAATCTTTAACTTCCTCTTCTGCTGCCGGCCACAGAGAGCTCTCCTCTCTCAAGGGGCCAGGAGATTAGACCACGCCCACCTGGATAATCTCTCTGTGTTATATAATATACCACAACCACAGGTAATCTCTCATCCTATTCAAGGGTTCAGAGTATTAGGAAATCTATGGGTGTGGGGTGGGAGACCATTTCAGAAATTCTGCCTTCTACAGGAGCTAGGAATGTACATGGAGGTTTGGAATCCTAACTGGCAGGACTTGGTCAGCAGCCAAAGTTTCCAGAGACTTGTGGCTGGGGCAGAAACGGAATCTTCATTCTCATGAGCCCCTGGGAGGCATGCCTCTGCACCGCTGTGATTGCACACCTTGAGAGGTCTCATACTGACCCATGTTTTATCTGATCTCTTGTAGGTTTCTGATGATCATGGTTACTTCTGGGGCCACATTCTTTTTTTCACCTCAATTAGATCAGTCTGTGAATCTTCTCACCATCCTGATAAAGGGGCCCTGTTTTGTCCCACAAAAGTCCAGATCTGGAGCTCAGTCCCATGCCTGCCTTGGCAAAAAAAGTCACTCACTGTGCCATGGTGAGAATAGCAGATCTTACTGAGGTTTGAGACATGCACCCTGTAGTCCTCCTGATAGCACTTCAACATCTCTCTCCTTTGAGGACTTTTGTGACACTGGTTCTCTCCGCCTCTCCTCTCTGACTTCCCTTCTTGCACTGCTTTACTTTGTTCTACCTCTCAAGAGCCAACCCGTTTCTCCCTTTATCATATGCACAGCGGTTCCATTTCCCCCAGCTCCAGACCTTCTTTGCACAGCTGATGGATTTTGGCTCAAGTTTTGGTGTCACCACATCTAAGGATCTACCAGATTTAGCCATTAAGTCAAGATGAACCTCTTCCTGAGTCTTTGTCTTCCTGTGGGAATAAGGGTAAAGGCGGTTTCCTTCTTTTTATTTCATATGCTATGGACAGAAATGCCCAGTGTAACAGGGGCACAGGGGTGGAACACCTCCCAAGCAGGTCAGAGAGGTCTAGATATGAATAAGAAGCAGTCCTCCTCTCTGCCGTTCCATCAACAGGGCCCTGCCTGAAAAGGTGTTTCGTCTTCTCCACTTACATGACTCTTAATCTTCTCTCAAGGTCCATTTCTGTGCTCCTTCCTCACTTCCTTTTTTTTTAGATTTTTTATTTATTCATGATAGACATAGAGAGAGAGAGAGAGAGAGAGAGGCAGAGACACAGGCAGAGGGAGAAGCAGGCTCCATGCTGGGAGCCTGATGCAGGACTTGATCCCGGGGCTCCAGGATCGCGCCCTGGGCCAAAGGCAGGTGTCAAACCGCTGAGCCACCCAGGGATCCCCCCTTCCTCACTTCCTTTTTCTTTTTTTTGAAGATTTTACTTATTTGAGTGGGAGGGAGGGGCAGCAAGAGAGGGAGAGAATCTCAAGCAGACTCCACACTGAGTGTAGAGCCCAGCACAGGGCTTAAGTTCTGCAGCAAGAGGATATAAAAGCATACTTTTTCACTAAATAGACTCTCAAGAAATATTCTCATGCTTGACATCCAAACTACAATGAATTGAGGGGTCTGGAGCCACGTGCCTTTTAGCACATGGGCTTTTCTAGGGTAATAATGTTCCCAAAGCGTAATACATATATGCCTAATGATACATATATCTCCCTCTATGGGAGGATTTTAGATAATACCCAGGCGAATATTTACACAATTCTAATATATGTGTATTTATTTTAATGTATACTAGAAAATTTACAGGTAGCATATCAGACCTGATTTCATGAATCAGTGACTTGATGATTTACATAACATTAATTGTTCATAAACAATTATTCACAAACATTACTGTTTATGGCAAGGCTAGAGTTAGAGTGGATAGGAAGTACTCCAGCAGAACATGTTAATTGATTTTGTGAAAAATACTCTGTAAATAACAGATAGATGGCACACAGCTTTGGCCAAAACCATGAGGATGGCATTCAAATGACTGAGGTTTGGGAAACTCTTTCCCAGTGACTCATTCTTGTGAATCCCCTCACTGTAAATATAGGGGCAGGGAGCATTTGAGACCAAAAATCCTGTTCTCCAAACTGTACCAGATACCACACCCAAAGACCACTATTCCTTTTAATTCCAGATATTACTGAAAGTCTAAACTGTTCTGCAGAGAGAACACCCAGAGCCTGCAAGTAGGTTATCACACGTCAAGGCTGGATCAGCCCATCAGTGGCACCAAAGGGTGGGGTGGGAAGGAGAAACTGCAAAATAAGCCTGGCTCCAGGAACAGCATGTATTCAGTACAGAGCCATAAGTTCAGAAATACCAGACTTGGGTGTGTTTGTTATGGAGACTTACTGCAGTGAAAGGGAGGGTAAGAATCCAGGATTACTCTCCCCAAAGGGAAAGCTGGAAAAGTCATCTCCCAAGGGTCCCTGTCAAAAGCCACAAGCCTCAGACACACTGACAAAATAAAGGGACAGCTAGGAGCCACCCTACCTCTTTGTCCTTATTTTCATCCCTCAGACCTCAGAAGAGATACTGCAGATATATGACTCTAAATGTAATGAGTACAAATTGCAACTACTCCAAAGCTATACCTTGATAATGCTTAACTGCAACAGCAGGGAGATAAGACAAGAAACTGGACTAGGGGACATTTAGAAAAAAGGGTCTAATAGGTCAATGATTTCTAAACACCCGTCTACAGACCAGTGTCCAGCTGGCTACAGAATAATCACCTATATCAGGGATGGGTGTGTGTTTTTTTTAAATTTTTCCAGCTTTATGAGATATAATTGACATATAACATTGTGTAAGTTTAAGGTGTATGATGTGTTTATTTGATACACTTACATATTGCAAAATGATTACCACCATAGTATGGGTGTGTGTTTTACTCTCCATCACCACCCAGGCCACGTTCTGGTTCAGGTCAGAAATGATATCTCAGAATTGGTGTTTTTAACAAGGTGCCCCATGCTTCTAATGCTCAGTCTAGTTTGCAAACTACTTTTTGAGCTTTGTGCCTCACGTCTAGTTGCTTCCTTCCTCTTCCCACTGGCCTAGCCTGGCCCCCTTCTTCCATGTTGGGTGATTCTTCCAGCTTATAACCCATATCCTACCTCGGTCTTTCTTTAAACATTTTAGAGTCAAACCAATAAGTATAAAGGATAGAAAAAGCATATGGGAAGGAGAAACAGAGTTTAGTGTTCAAAAAGAGCCTTCCCTCTTGGAAAAAGTCATATAACCTCTCAAAACTGCAATTTTCCTCATTTTTTAAAGATAGGAACTAATAAAAGTGCCTACATTACTGGGTTGTTGTAAGGATCAAACGAACCTATTGATTCAAACACCTAGGAACATGTGATCTATGTTAATCACATCATTTCTATGCTTAGAAGCATTCAGTGGCGGGATCCCTGGGTGGCGCAGCGGTTTGGCGCCTGCCTTTGGCCCAGGGCGCGATCCTGGAGACCCGGGATCGAATCCCACGTCGGGCTCCCGGTGCATGGAGCCTGCTTCTCCCTCTGCCTGTGTCTCTGCCTCTCTCTCTCTCTGTGACTATCATAAATAAATAATAATAAAAAAAAAAAAAAAAAAAAAGAAGCATTCACTGGCTACTAGAGCATATCGCCTGGCCAGTATATCCTCCTTTGGGCACTGTCTCCCTTTCCCTGTTCTGCAAAATTGTGGAGGACAATCAATCCCAAATCCTCTGAGGTGGGCACATGACCCAAGCTAAGCCAATCAAATACTTCTGGAAATCTGCATTTTCAGTGGGGATTCAGGGATGGGAGGTTTGAGGTTGAGTCATGAGTTCATCCTCTGGAGATCCCCTCTAGCCTGGTCAGTTCCTTCAATTCTGTAAACTCCCCAGTGTCCTTCCAACAGATTGCCCATTTTTTCTCTTCAGTTAACCCAGAATTGGTTCCTGTCTCTGAAACCAAAGAGCTCTAATTAATACAGCTCATCATCTACAGAACGAAGCATGCAAACTTCTCATCCTATGTTACAGATTCTCCACATTGTGTTTATATCTCACTTGATGGTTCTTCCCTAAGCTTAAGCCTCTATACAACAATCCCTGCGAGCTACTATTATGCTATTTGCATTTTATGGGCAAGGAGGGTGTCTAACTCATTTCCCATGCTAGACAGTTTGATGTATTTTGATCAGATTTAATTGAGAACTAGCTCATTTAAAAATAACAAAAGGCATTCTGTGGCTCAGAGCAGAAATGGTTGCCAAAGACTAAGATTATAGAGAATCTGGATATAAACCAAGTTCTGGGGATTTTTTTTTTAAGATTTTATTTATTTATTTATTTGAGTGAGTGAGAGTCCAGATACGAGTGGGGGGTGTGGCAGAGGGAGAGGGACTAGAAGACTCCCTGCTGAGCAGGGAACCCTAGGCAGGGTCCATCCCAGGACCCCAATATCATGACCTGTGCTGAAATCAAGAGTTGGATTCCCAACTGACTGAGCCACCCAGGTGCCCCTCTGGGGATTTTTTTTTTTTTAAGAGTTCAGCTTTTATTGAGCAGCTTATAGAAGTTTAGTCAAAAAGACCAAAGCCCATGTCATCATCAGACTCCTCAGATTCTTCTTTCTTTGCTTCCACGTTTTTCTCCTTGGCTGGGGCAGCAGTGGGGGAAGGAGCAGGACCTCCTGCTGGTGCAGCACCAGCTGCTGGGTTGGGTCCACCACCTACTACAATGCAGATGAGGCTCCCAATGTTCACGTTGGCCAGGGCCTTTGCAAACAAACCCGGCCAGAAAGGTTCAACATTCACACCGGCTGTTTTAATGAAGGCATTGATCTTATCCTCCATGACGATCACCTCGTGGTCGTGCAGGAGAAGGGCTGAGGCCATGCAGGTGAGCTCCAAGACAGAGGCCATCGGGAGGGCCAGGGCTGAGCGGGTGCTGCCGGGAGTGGTGCTGGTCACCTGATGAAGTGAGGGCCTCACCCCAACGCGGCCTTAACCTCCTCAGAAGGACCAAGCACCTTGGCGGCCCTTGAGGAAAGCTCTGGGGATATTTTTAAAGTATATTCTAAAGGTATATTCTAGTCCTTTGGCTAGAAATTAGATTTGGAAGTTTAAGATCGAGGACCCAAACAAACTAGCCCACTGGTGGTCAATGAGGCCAAACGCCATTGGGTTATATAATATAACCCTCTGGTTTATGCATTGTGATGTTCAGAAAGGTTCTTTGTACCCTCAGGACATTCTGATGACCCAGGGAATCTTGCTCATATGTAGGAGGTTTTGAGAACTTAAATCAAGCAAACTATACTTTTTTTTTTTTAACAATAGAAAAGGAGTGCAGATTCTTAACTGATCACAAATAAAATTAAGAAATGAGATTTTAAGTTGATTTTAAATTGATCTAGTGGCAAGACTATTACTAAATTCTCTCTCCTTTCCTATCTCTTCTGCTCCCTCTGCTAAATTAGCTCTGGTCACCAATTATCCATTGTTATCTGGGTCCACATTCACCAGAGATTTTTTACTCCCTGAGAGTAGAGAGAGGTAATGATTAAGGTAATTTCTCTTTCCAGAATGATGCAATGAACAAGCCTGCCTTGGAGTCCAATAAACTTGGGTTTATAACCTGCTCTGACACTTGTTGGTAGTTTAACTTGGAGTAACTTAGTCTCAGTTTCTTTATCTGTACAGTGGGGGCAATAAAGCTGGCTCCCATTTCCAAGATTCTGATTCTGTTGTTGGCTGCAGATCCTTGGAATTTTGTTAACAATTGTTTGTTATGAGGATCAGATGTATGCAAAGTCCCAGAACAGTGCCTGGTACTAAGTCAGTGTTCATTAAATGTTCCTTTCCCTTCTCCTTTGATGCTCTCTTCCCTAATACCTTCCACTCATTTCCATTCCAGATCTCTGATCATGTTTTATACAGGAAATATGTACATAAAAATTCTTGATTTTAAATGTGTAAACATATTCTATGTACATATTCACTCATTTGTTCAACAAATACTTACTGGGAATCCATTTGTGCCAGGCACTGTGATAAACCAGTTATACAAGTTCCCTGTTCTCATAGAGCTCATTCTCTAGTAGGGGGGTATTCCCTGGGATGAGATAGGAAGTCACAGGTATGGAGAAAAAGGACCAGATGGACCATTCAGCGAAGGCTTCTCTGGAAAGGACAGCTCTGAGGCCCAGAGGATGAAGCAGAGCCAGCCACCATCTAGAGCACCCCAGGCAGAGGGCACAGCAAGTGCAAAGCCCCGAGGGGGCGGGGACAGCTTGGTGCTTTTGAGAAACAGAAAGCATCTGGTTCCAGGAGGGATGGGAATGAGAGGGGGAACAGCAGGGCACTGTTGGTCATGGTGAGGTGTTGGGATTGACATGGGACACAGTGGAGATGCTGAAGCAGGGAAGGAATGGGATCTGATTTAGGTTTATTTATTTATTTTTTAAAAATCTGATTTATTTATTCATGAGAGAGGCAGTGAGAGAGGCATAGACACAGGCAGAGAGAGAAGCAGGCTCCCTGCAGGGCGCCTCATGCGGGAATCTATCCTGGGACCCCGGGATCATACACTGAGCCAAAGGCAAACATTCAACCACTGAGTCACCCAGGCACCCCTGATTTAGGTTTAAAAAGCACCACTCTGGCTGCTGTGTCTCAGAGTGAATTACAGAAGGCCAGGATGGAACCAAGTCCACATGACTACATACACATGATACCAGGCATGTGGACTCCTAGAGTTAGAAAGGAGGGCAGAGCGGCTCCAGCCCAGAGGTATGAGAATTCCTGGGGGTGAGGGCAGTCACCAGCCTGGGGAACACTGGTCCTCACCCCCACTGGCACATTACAATCACCTGGAGGCATGGTTAAAATTCCAAGGATCCACAGCCACTGCCATGGACCAAGAGAATCAGAATCTCATAGATGGGGGCTGGGCTTATAGGATTTTCTTTACAAAACTTCCTAGGATATTTTACATGCAACCAGAGGTGAGAATCACTGGGTCAGACATCCAATTACTACCCCTCCCTCCACTCCCTTTACCACTCTCACCATCAGCTAAGGCAAATCTCAGCAAAGGGAGGGAAGGAACATGGACACAGATGCAGGAACCCTGGTAAGAAACCAGTTGTCAGGGGCTCCTGGGGGGCTCAGCTGGTGAAGCTTCAGACTCTTGATTTTTGTTCAGGTCGTGATCTCAGGGTGGTGAGATAGAGCCCTGTGTGGAGATCTCTGCTCAGCGAGGAGTCTGCTTGGGATTCTCTCTCTCCCTCTCCCTCAGCCTCTCCCCCTGCTTTTGTGCCATGCATTTTCTCTCCCTCAAATAAATACATTAATTTAAAAAAGAAAAGGAAAGGGGTTGTCAGGCTTCTGGGCATACCCTCCAACCCCCTGCAGGGCTCCATTCTCTAACAGATCCTCACACCCAGGGGCACTGCATGTGAAACTCAGAGCGCAGCCTCCAAACCAAGTTCCCTGGAAGGAAGGTAAAGTGATGAGTGTCCTCCCTGACCCAGTCCACATGTATTACCAGAGAATTTGAGCACTGGAAGGGGCTTTCACATAAGTAGTTAAATTCTAACTTAACCACAGGTTGGCGGGGGTGAGTGGGCCAGACACTAAATATGACCAGTCTTGTATTTCTGGAGCATTCTTAGAAGCTTGAGAAGGGGTGGGAAATTTATCACCTCCATTCTGGCAGCCTCTGTGCTCCATAATTTATAGTCCTCACAAAAACTCTGTGAAACAGATGTTGTTATTCTTTCAGAGATTAGGTAGCTGAGATTCAAAGAGGTAAATTAACTTGGCCAAGGTCACACAGCTGGTCAGTGCCAAAGGCCCAAGGAAAACTGAGTCAGCCTTGCACCAACACTGAGGCTCTATCCACCACTGCACTGGGCTCCCTCTTGGTATCTTTCTCCAGAATCTTCCTTCAGTGGAGGGATAATCAGCATCACCCCATTCCCCACGTCACCCCATTTGAGTTAAGGAGCCAACTTTACAATTCCTGCTACTCTTCACCTAGCACTTTGTGCCCCCTACCAGTACCCAGCCCCTCTGTCCTCTTTCTCCCCCATGTTTCCTACAAACCCCGACCAGAGCACAAAACAAGTCTGCAGTATTAAGAAAGAACAAAGTATGGAGGCTAAAAGGTGGTCCATTTTGCTGACATGTTTTGATGGAGGAGCAGAGAGAGGGAACTGTTTTTACTCTTCTGTCTTATTGTATGGCTGGTTGCTTGGCCTGGACACTGCATGCACTCTCAACGGTGAGAAATTTCCCAACTACTCAAGGCCTTCAGCGATTTCTCATTTTAGGCTGTGCCCCTTATGGCCTACAGTTAGCACTTACATAGGAAATCAGTTTATCCTGTAAGGTTCTCTTGCTGTTGCATAGGAACATGTTGTAACTAGCCCCTCCCCACCCACTCACCCTCACAGCTCCCGTTAGTTAAACCAAGGGGTTAGTTGTTGTTGTTGTTGTTAAGATTGTATTTGAGAGGGAGAGAGAGAACATAGGGTGGGGGGAAGCAGAGAGAGAAACAGACACCCTACTGAGCAAGGAGTCCAACACTGGATTCAATCCCAGGGCCCCCGAGATCATGACCTGAGCCAAAGGCAGATGCCTAACCTAACATACATACACACAAAACGTATTTATACATTTTGTGTTCTCAACACTCAAGTCGCTAATGGTTCTCGTTGACTAAGTTGAGGACCCTGTCATATGCGGGGACCACTCAATTTACACCTGAAAGATGGCACCACATCTACTCCTAAAACTCACTAGAGTGTGGGAGAAAGAAGCCATTCTTCCCAATATTTGCTTTCAAGGCAGAATTCAATCCCTGGAGGTAGCCACTCCTATAACCACATTCCTCCCCCACCTGAACGAAGCCTGAGGCTCTTGGCAGACCTTCCCCCTCCACCTCCCCCAGGAACTCTGGAACTAATGTCTTTATCTCAGGCTCTCTGCCAGGTCCTTTAGGAATCTTATCTTAGTTCACTTTCACAGCATACCTAGGCAGTATTAGTCCCATTTCAGTGCTAAGGGCACTCAAGATTGGAAAGGGTAAGTAACTTGTTCCAAGGCATAGACAGCTAATAGCAGAAATGGGATTAGAACCCAAGTGTACTGGGCCACAAAGCATCAGAGCATCTGATAGTTCTGTGCTTCAGCTCAACCAGATTCAAGGCTCTTCAAGGTGGAGACCAGGTTTGGGTTCCCCACAGGCCCTAGCATAGGGCAGAGGCACAGTGAGTGTTTGCTCAGTAAATTGTCAGAGGAAGTTTACCCTGATTACTTATTGTGTGAGAACCAGTATTGGGGAAAGAGGAAGTGTTTACCTAGTGATAAGGCCTGTGTGCCTGATAGTGGCCCCATGCCCTTGGCCAGAGACAAGAAGTGGGAGGGCGGGCAGCAGAGGGGGGCAGGGTAGAAGGCCCCTCTCCAACAAGGGCTGATGGAAGATCTAGGGGTAGCCAAGAGACCTGGGATTTAGGGGAAGATGGGAGGGACATTTTCAAGGTTGACTGGTTGTTGGCTTCCCTGACATCCAGGCCTACAGATTTCTCCCACTTGAAGGAGCTACAGAAGCAAGGAAGGAAGAAGGAGGCAGGCTCCCAGTGGGTAGTGGAGGTTGCAGAGAAACCAGTCCAAGTGGCTGTGTGTGTGAGAGGCAGGGGAGGGATTTAGGTTTGGGAGACCCTAGGTATAGATGTGAGATTTGAAGGAACTTCCAGGAAGATGGAGGAGAAACATGACTTGATTCAATATCTCTGAGAAGAGGACATTTTCTTGGAGGGCCCCATACCAAGAAGGCAAAGCATGGAAGCACGGCTCAGATGGGATTTGGTGTGGGGAAACTGTGGGGGAGGTTTAGGAAGCTGGTTCAGAGGGATGCC